ATTATCGCCTCTCCTCTTCAGGACTAAGGGAATTGTTACAACTTTTAGACACCTGGCTGAGCCATTCAGAATCACAGCTCGGAAATCGCTCTTCCTGTGAAAGGAATAGTCAAAGGGACTGTTGCTGGACTTTTCAAATCTTGGTTCGGTGCTTAAGCTATGCTTGTAAGAAGCAAGGCATGGCTAAGCTAATCTCCCAAGAGATTGCATTTGTTGATTTCTGTGTTTAAACTTGTGTAGGTGTTATTGTATCAATATAAATCATTTTTGCTTTATAAGTGGTTTAATGATCTCTCTCTTTAGCCCCTAAGATTCTTGAAGGACCCAATGTAACACCTACACAAAGCAATTTACAAGTAGATGTATGTGTAACACGTGCATGCACACACATATACTCATGCATGCACACGTACATGTGTGGCATGCACACATACACATTTACAATCACTCGCACACAGGTGGGCATGCAAATTTCCCCCACCACCCTCATCCGAGGGCTGTGTTTTTGCAGCTTGGTGCTCACAGCAGCAGGAACACAAAGGCCACCTTGCTCTGGCAGTGAGCAGCTCTGTGTAGACTCAAAGGAACCCAGGGACCAGCAGCTGTGTGTGCTCCAGAGAAGGCAATGCTGACCTGCGAGAAGAAACTCTGTATGTACCTTAACTGTGGTCCGGCCATCAAATGTGAATGACTTGATCTGCCCATTTTCTAAGAAAACCTTCAGGACGTTGGGGATGAGTAGAAGAGCTTCTTTCTTCATCATTTTCTGGGAACAGGCAGTGGGGAAAGGACAAGGAGAGGGGCTCATTTAGAAGGATAAGAGACGCCAAAGGAAGGGTGTAGAAAGGAAGAAAAGGGAGTGAGTCAAGGAGACAGAAAGCCAAAGATATTGAAGGACAAAGAAACAGAGGAAAGAGCAGTTCAATAACAATGTTACATGGAGACCAGAACCAAATTCTCCAAGACATTGGGCCATATCAAAAGTTCACCATTTCATGTCATGATGCATCTGCATTCTACTGTGGCTTAAAGCTCCACAACTTGGAGTTGTGCTTGGTCCATAGAGACTACAACACACTGAAGGGCTGATGGGAGGCCTCCTTAGAAGCCCACCTCATTCATGTGCTCCTATGTCATGACACCTCTCTTTCCACCAGGCCCTTCACACATCAAGATCACTTTCATATACATGCCTTTGCTCTGCCATTCCCTCTCCCCTGTGGCATCTTAGGTCCTTTCTGACCTGGACCCTGCCAACTTCCCCAGAATCATAGCTTGCCATTCCAAGTACCCATGCTGTTCTTTCATGCCTCCAGACCTCTGGCAAGTCATCATTCAGGGACTATCTCACTCTCTACAAGATACTTAGCATCTCTGACTCTAAGACACTAAATGCCAATAGCATACTAAACCATGGGGATGACCCAAAACACCCTCAGACATTTCCAAATGTTCTTTGAGAGTGGACACTATTGACGCTGATTGAGAACCACTGGCAAAGCTCATTTTTGAACACCTGCTATAACTCCTTACCAAAAGTTGTCCTGGTCCAGGTGTTTATTTATAGAGTGGTACATGTTAAATTCTCAATAAATATTTGTTAAATAAAGACTATTCCCTTTGCCTTCCTTCTTCCCTCCTTGGCAAACTCCTACTTATCCTTCAAAAGCCAGTTTAAATATGAGTTCTGTAAAGCCTTGTCCAATATTATCAGGTACATGGACCTGGTGTTCCCATGTGTTCCTGTAGCAGCTTATATATACCTCTTTCAGAGCTCTTCTCATAGTTTGACAAATGTTTGTCTTTCACAATCAAATAGTGAACTCAGAGCACAATAATTATGTTCTACTCAATCTTTGTAGTCCTAACATTGAGCAGAGTTCCTGGCACACAGTTGGTGCTCAATAAATGGCTGTGGAATATCTTAGCAGTAAGCGTTTAATATGTGCTTACTTGAATGATTATACTCATCAGGAGAATCCAACCATTTCCCCAGGCTAAGATCATCAGTTCTATAGGAACTGAAAAGCTGCATAAGATGGCAAGATTCCTTAATTCAGTGGGTATTCATTGAGCCTTTACTATATGCCCAGCACTATGCTAAGCCCCATGAGGGCTTGGTCTAGTCTTACATTCTTGTTGTAGTGACCTGGCACATACACGCATGCTTGCACACATATACCTAGCCCCCACCTAGAGGAATGCATTAGAGAATAATTATAAAAACAAAACAAATCGACAGGTATAAGAGTTAAGGTTTCCTAGATGAAGTGAACTGAATTTTGATTTTGAAGGAGATGGTGGGTATGGACTATTAAAAAAAGCCAGAAGAGAATGGTCTAGATCTAGGGACTGTCACAGACAAAATATGCAAACGTGAACAAGCAAGTCCCTCCTGGGTTAGGGTGTGCTTGGTGGTGGTGGGGAGCCAAGAGTCAAGCCATGGTACAAAGTCATGAGATATAGA